GTTACGCCCTGGAGAGAGAGGAACTTATTATAGAATTTTGATTCCCCACTGAAATTCACTGAGTATTCGGGTAGCTGGTGTGGGGAAGTGAGCCTACTACCCCAGTGGAGCAAACTTGAAAATGTCCAATTCTGCGTGAAGAATACTCAATTTCCTTTAATGTATATTTTTCTGCCAAACGAGGTCGTCAGATGAAACCAACGGCCCAACTTACTGCCCAACGTTTCGGCTTCCGTCTTTTCCAGAAGCTTGAAAATGGCCCTTCCCCACTTTTGCGTTTCCAACGTTTTTCGTGTCTAACGCTTTTGCGTTTCCAACGTTTTTCGTGTCCTAAACGCCTCTGAACAATCCGGTAATAACAGCAAACAACTCACCGTAGGTTCCACCGTGATCAGCCTAGCTAACGCTGTCTTAGTAGGATAAGTAAGGACGAATGAGTCCTACTTGAGTCTCATCGTGTCGCATAAGTCACTGCAGCTCACACTAAAACGGCAGAAATTAAGAAATATTCGTTTACCACATTGAACGCCGCGTGAATTGTCGGCAATACACGCGCATACTCCCGTTTCTCGCGTTTGTGTATTGCCCACAATTCACGTTTTGTGGGTCGGTTTTTTCGTGGGTATGAGTGCGACTTGAACCATTTCACCGAGTATATGTTCAGTGAGCTTTGCTTATGCTTAGTTCTTGATGGCGCGAAATAAGCTGCTCATTGAAGTAATTCATTAATAAACATTACAAAATAAGAGTCAGTGGCGCGATCGGTAATTGCACTTCTTATAGTGATAATTAGCGTTAATTTACAATACATTTGATAGTGTTTAATTCATTATGATAACAATACTTATGTCGTCAAAACTGACGTTTAGATCTTCTACGTTGTCCAGATCCATCTATGCAGCTAAAAGAAGTCATCATTCATATTGAACAAATGAGCGCAAAAGTAACCAGAATGAACGTGTAAAGGGGCATGCGGCACAAAGACTCCCGTTTCGCGCGTTTGTGTATTGCACGCAATTCACGCGCGCGGAGACGCAGGAAGTAAAAACGGGAGTCGCCGCAAAAACGCCGCGGCGTTAAATGTGTTAAGGGTAACGTGTGCCATGGAATTTTGAATTATGCGTCGCGATGAGACACAGTGAGACTCATTCGTCCTTGCTAGTATCACTAGCACAGAGCTCGAGCTTGGCTCAGCACTTTGGGACCTTCGGTGAGTCGTTCGCAGTTATCACAGGGTTGTTTGGAGGCATTCGAAAACACTTGGAGACACGACGTCGGAAACGCTAAAGTGATAAAGGTATTTGGTCGGGTGGGTAACAAATTCAAATCTTCGAGCTATTTTCAGGCCTCTGGAAGAAGACGAGAAGGTCGACACGTTAGGGCAATGAGAACGATCCATCTAGGAAATTCTTTTGACGAATATACAGGGAGTCAAAAAACGTCTTTCTTCCTCGACTTTCAAGTATAAGTACACTTTATTAAATTTTGATTGGACATTTTTGCCACCATATTCAACAGCACATTGTACACTATCATGATACTCCGCCACAGCCTTCTGGACGAGCGCCATCGAGAGATTCTGCCACGCGACCGTGATTCGGTGCCTGAGTTCAGCGAGGTCGTTGATTTCTCCGCTACTGTAGACCACTCCTATTGTGCTCCGCTCGGACGCGGTGACACACTTAGATATCCGTCTTCCTCAGGTACTCAACGCCCTTCCATTCCAAAGAATTTCCCAACTAGGCAGCACAAACTTTCCAAGATGATCACGGTGACGGCATTGAAGGACAAGCATTCTCCTCGAGGGCCCGATGTAACCGTCAACGCTCACTTTCAGTCCGGGGTCCGCGAAGAAAGTATTGGTCTTCCCTTCCCAGGCACTTCCGGTCCTTATCATCACCCCGCTCCTTGGCGGTCTGTGGGTGATTTTGATGAACCCTGGAAGCAAGCGAGCGTCTTGCTCAGCAGTGCTACATGTGACGCGTCTCTAGATAAAGAAGTGCTGGTCCCAGGTGCGCTGTCCATGGGTGATCACACCAGAGGCTTCGCAGCTGCTTCAAGATACGAGAATCCCAAAGGTCTTTCTACAGTCCGCGCTCTACTGGAGATGAACTAAATATTTCGATGTCAGAAGAGATGATGACGAGAGGCCTGCCTCCCTGCTTTGCAAGGAAAGGCGTGCGCTCACTTCCGCCTGGTACTCGATTTCACCGCATGGGCTGGCGAACTCTGCAATAGATCTAACAGCGTCTACTCAGGGGACCCTCAAGGCTAAATAAACCTTATGCAGTGTAGTGGCAACTTCGCCAATCTATCGAAAAGGCAAAATTAGTAGATAAGCGCGCGATTATTCAACATACTCATAAATATGCAACCGATGGTAAAGCAGAACCGGACAGTCGATAGTTACTGGTGTATTCAGTACTCTTACCCACAACAGCTAGCGTAACAGTCCCAAGTAGCAAAGATAAGACAGTTGCTTTGAACATGGAAGAACAACGCTTCAAAAGGCGTAGTTAGTTACATACGCTATTATTATTAATAGTATCGCCAAACATATAAGATAGCACAAGCAACAATGTAATCACAGTTACAAAACTAATTTATAAACACAGAATCACCTTGCTATGATGAGGCTCTAAAACTCATTCTACTCGATCGCACTAAGCTGTTGTTTTTTACTGCGTTTTACTTACATCCGCATGAATTTTACCACTGTGACCTTACTTCCAATATTTTTCGCGTGCCATAAAAGGCACGATTACGCTTCGCGGCGTCCCCTGGCTCTGCAACATGATCGTTTGTGCATCGCTTAACGGCTTTGAAGCAGCAGTCATTGCCCCTCTAGCTTTGCGCGACTAGGAATCGCTCAGCAGAAGCCGTATTAGCAAACTTAATCATCACACGCTCAACTTATCAACTAAAGCTCGCAAAAATACCAAATCCATTGGGTACACATAGGTACAGCAGAGGTATACGACGGCTATCTGCGAAGTTCCGTGGCAATGATTGTATATACTGCTGAGATTCCAAATAACAGTACAGAAATGCCAATTCCAATGCCTTATGGAGGTGTTATAAACTTCTGGGTCGTTAATGAGTGTGGGTACATGTTTGTGTTTGGCGCGAAAAATCCTAAATTTCGGTTGGTAGTGGACGGCCAATTCCACAAAGAACTCAAGCATGAAAAGCTTGAAAAAGTTGATAGGCACGAGTACAGAATGAGACCAACGAGTCGTCGGTGTCAAGAAGTGATAACAACTGATAAGGGGTCTACTTTTGTAGCAATGGTGAGAGTGTAGGTCCAACACTTAATACAGCCGTCATCCGGGCAGTTGATTAGGCTGTCAAATGGTCGTGACACGGCTGCGGTTCGTCACGACTGCGGCGAGCAACTATTTCCAGCCCGGTTTAGCCATTTTCTCCCTAATTTTCACTGCGTTTTCTATTTTGTGAGGGTTTAGGTTATGGCTTTATGAAGGTGCATTAGTACGCGGCATTCTTCTTTTGTTCTATGTAGTGAGACATTTTTCGATTTGTCGGATTTTTTCAATTGTGTGTTCAATTGTTTAATGCGGTTCGCAAAAATCAGAGAAATTCCGATCACTGTTCAACTTGTGAAAACAAGGAACAACTGACCTCTAGAAAAACATTCAAAAGAACGAAAATTGGGTGAGGAATATGGCTATACCAGGCTGGAAACAGCTGATCGCCGCGGTCGTGACGCGCCGCAGCCGCGTCGCGACCCTTCGGCCGCCTAATCAAGTGCCCGGATGATGACTGTATATGTTAAATCATTGATAACAACTGATAACAGCCGATTAGGGGCGTTAGAGGGAAAGTTTCAATTCCCGTTGCTGTTGCAGTTTTGTTCGTCCCCTAAATTTATGAGGCCGTCATACAATCCTGTTCGCTGCGGATGCTGGGCGTGCTGGCGACGCCAATGTCCAACTTAGCCTCTCTGATATGCCCCAGCATCCGCAACGAACAAAACTGCCGCAGCAGCGGGAATTTCATACCACTACTCATGGACCATTCTTGACAAATTAGTGATTTGCCGGGAATTTTTGCTGATCCCGTAAGTATATCTGTCGCTGATACTCCATATGCTCGAAAATGAATGATCCAAAAGTTTTTCTCACCCCGAAGAACGTTCTGCCAAATACCTTGCCAATCACATGAAAAATGTTCCCGTGACAGGGCAGCCGATCATTCTTACCATTCTAGAAGGCGTTTCATATCTTCCCTCTTACGGTTCCTCTTTCCTCTTATGATTTTAATCGTAGCGTAACGGGGTTTGATGAAAACGGACACCGCAGTAGAGGAATATCATATATGGCCTAGCGAAAAGCACTTCTAGGCACTATTTACCCTTTACTGCCTCAATCATCCGGAACCAGTCCAGTGACCGACTGTCTCCGTAGGCAGAATTGGCTAAGAAGTTGTCTCCTAGGGGTTTGGCCTTCTGAACATGAATATCACATCCGCTCGGCACGAAACCTCCTGGCTTCTGCCTACGGAGAAAAATGTCGGTCAAAAACTGGACTGGTTCCGGATGATTGGAGCAGTAAAGGGTAAATAGTGCCCACTATTTTGATGACTGATTTTTCGCGGCGCGGCAGTACGGCATAATGGCACCTATACTAAACCGTCGGCGGTCCAAACGACGGGAAGCCACTTCCCAATGGCATGTTTTCGCCGTGAGCACTATTTCAATGAGTTTTCAGTAATGACATAGCGTGTTCTGCACTTGCTAGCGCTGGTACAATAGGATATTGTAATCAATTTTTACCATCAATATAATATACTATTGTAAAAAGTGACAGAAAACCAATTAATGAATTTGAGTACATAGCCAAAGAGCCAGCTTTTACTTAATGGCGCATAGTTGGTCCTATGATGACAAATAAACCGTTAGAAATGGCACACTCATAGAACGTGACAATTATACGCCACTGGATGCACAGGTATTCTGATCGCCGGCTGTATGACAAGTGCGATCAGCGATAAACTGCGGCTTGAGCTTTCTCTCGTTGTGGTGTCTGAAAAGAAGCTTATCAGTGATTATGAGTTGTAGCTGAGATGAGTGAAGAAAATAAGCTCAATTCATAGGCGCGTAACCGTATGTTGGGTGGGGAGACTACTCGACAGCACCTCCGTATTATCCGTTCCCCTAATCAAGGTCTAGGCTTATCATAGAAGAAGGCTATGTCTTTTCTGCGGGACTAATCCTCGGCGAACCTGGTAGTCTGCGCTTTAAGCCTGAACCTTTTCGAGGGAAGGATACAGAGGCGCGGCCGAGTGTCCCGCCTCCCCAGTCCCCATCCACTTTAGCGTCCACTTCATATTCCGCAGAAGGACGGGGCATGTCAGGTTCGTTCCAGGCAGCGCAGTAGTGGATGCGTATGTGTGTAGGTTTTCGGTCAGGGAGAAGGGCATCGACCTCAGAGCACCTTCCACGTTAGGGATGCCCGGAGAGAGAACATCGCTGGATGGAGGGGGGGGGGTGGTTGGTTGGACCTCAAGAAGAATAATTTCAATTTATGACTTCCTCAGTTTTTTATCCTTTGAATGTTACCTCGAGCGCCACTTTCCCCTCCTCCACTCCGCTCGATGGCAGTTTTTTTGAGAAAGACAGAGTGAATTTTTGGGAAAAACTTTGAATAAGTGGTAGGTCTAGGAAGGTGGTATGTAGGATGGGGCGGGGAATACGGGTCGTATGAGGGGGAGGGGTCGTATTTTGCAACAACTTTCCGCTCTGATCTCTCGCGCGTCCGTGTTACGCACACTCAACCGGCGTCTCCCCCTACAGCTGCCTGTTGCTGCCTCACTAGCATCAAAATTCTTGGGCCGCTCACCCATCGAAAGGGTATGGGCTGCAGCATTCAATCTTCAACACGCTTCGTTATGTAGAGAGCGTACTTCGATGTAATTCAGGTGTGTATTGATTTTGCGCGCGAACAATCGATATTTGTTTGCTACGATCATTTGCTAATGAGGGAATGTGAAGTAAGGAAATTCACAAGATTATCCTATGTTTACCTCAGCAAGTCTGGTATGAGTATCCGTGTGGAATTTGCTTTTCACCGTCTTTCCATCACCACGGCACAACGATTGGATGGCTTTACGGAACTGTGGGTTGAACCACGAATATATCACCGGATTCAAAGCCGCCGATGTCATCGCTGATACATGACATAAGGCGAACACCTGAAAACACGACTTCCAGTGATGTAGCCAACAGTTTTCAAAATCTGTAGACTCCATGAAGATGATGAAATTGACATAAATTCGATTCGAAAATCTGACCGTTGAAAACCATGGTTTATTGGTGAATGAACCCCAATCACGATACATATTAATAGCATTCAGTGGCATCCATGCAAAAATGAATCCAAGCACCATAGCAATCATCATCCTGGAACGGAAATGTTCTATATACCAAATCTCCTTGTGGCGCTAAAGAGGTGGGCTATAGTACGCCGAAAGATTGAAATATTCTGCGAATTAATGCTGAACATGTCTTCCATCGAGGTCTTTGAAGCGGGTTTACCATTCGCTTCGTAATATGGGTCCTAGTGGGGCTGTAGTCGGTCGCCGAGGAGAGGAAGAAGGTGTTTCACCTGAATGACTTTTTTCCGACTGTTTAATGTCCCCTTTCGAGCGCTATTCTCCAGCCCCTCCCCTCCCCCCCCCTTCCCTCCCCCCCCTCCTCCTTGCGCTCAGCACCACAAGCTCCCATTTCTGACAGGCGATCGAAGGTGTATGTCTTTTCCCCCTCCCCCGTTCGACGGCGAATTCTGAGCGAATCCAGTAATACGATTGGACCTTTGGAGCAGCAAGTTCTGGTGAGGGGGGGGGTCGTAATTTGCAAAAATTCCCTTCACTCAGGGATTGGGATGATGGTGGGCAGGGATGATGGTGGGCACTGCCTTGAATGAAGGCAAGGGTAGGGGAGAGTTTGGTCAAGCGTAGGGTAATTGATGGGAACGGTATGCAAACCCTCAGCAAGCCATTTGTGGCGTATGCGGAGAGCGCGTTCAAAACTACTGTAAATCCAACCATCCTTCCAATCCATGATTTAGCTTCCCTTCATTACCAAGTTGTCGCCACAGCCAATGACCTCTACCTACCAGCGCTCTAATCTAGCCCCATTTAGGCTAAATATGTGAGTATTCATCAATCCCGGCCGGTTGAAAAGGAAAAGAGTGCAGAGTGGATGTATGCCTAGTGTCACAATCACACAAACCCTTGGCATCCTGTCCCTAGTCCAGAGCAAGAAAAGCCCTCCTCTAATACCTAAAATGCTGATCGACGGCAAAATTCTAAGGAACAAAACAACGGGCTGAATGGCCTATTTTAAACAATCAAATAGCTTGAGTGTTCAGTGAAGTACGAACCTGTTTGCACGAGCTTTCCTATTCACAAGCTTCTCCTCAGACTCCTTGAGGAGTGTGTGACCTCGTCGTCGTTCCAATTGTGACGACATCACCTGACTAATAAGCCAGTAGCAGATGGACGATATCAGAGCAGGAACACCGAATTGCGATAGAAGTACTGAAAGACCGTAGAGGCGACGACCAGCGGACCGGCCTGACTCCATCGCGTCTGGCCTGAAGTGTAACATTTTCGAATAAGTTGAAGTACCGCTTTCCTCCATTTTCTTTTTTATTACTTTTTTGTTTTGTGAACCTTTGTACCAGCCTTATTCCCACACTACTGCTACATGCTGTTCACTTCTTATTCTAATGTAATCCAGCAAAGCAGCTGATTTAGCTTGAGAATTCGAAGTCCCCAAATTTAGCTTCACCAGGGCCTATCTCAGCAAGTCTTAGCCATTCATCCCTGGGTCACTCCAGAGGTACGCTGTACACCCACCTCCAAAAATCCTTAATATACTAGGTTTGTCCGGCAAGTCTCAGGTTTTGGCACCTTTTTTTTGTCTATTCTGACTGCTGATTATAAAATCTATTCTGCTCTTGCTTCTCAGTAGCATATCCTGTAGAGAATTTCTTGCGCTATCTGATGGTATAATTGCCGTTTCACCATGCTTGATAAACCCCCTTTTTTCAAGATTTTTTCAAGCATGTGAAAAGAGCACTTCGGACGATTTTTTTCTTCGACTATAAATTGGGGCAATCCGCAATCGAAACAGCTCAACAAATTAACCAGGTGTGGATCGGGGGTCGCAAATAGTGCTAGAAGAGAAGAACAGTGCGGCAGTGGCTCAACGGCTCATGTTATGGAAAATTTTCGTTCTGGAGATTTCAGCCTTGAAGATGAACCTCATAGCGGTCGACCTAAAGCAATATCTGACGAGGATTTTAGGGGGATTTTGGAGGCTGACCCATCCCAAACAGTTCGAGAGATAGCAGAAGAGCTAGGCCTTGGCAAATCCACTGTTGCAGATGGTCTGGAACGCATTGGGAAGGTGAAAAAACTCGACAATTGGGTGCCCCACAATCGGAGTGACCGGCAGGAATCGGCACGTCTCGAGGTTCCTTCTTCACTGCTTTTGCGCAAAAGAATTGACCCGTTTTTGAACGGATTTGTCACCTGTGATGAAAAATGGATCATGTATGATAACAGGAGACGTTCCGGACAGTGGTTGGATTTGACGGAACCACCGAGGTAATTTTCAAAGCCGAACCCTCACGAAAAAAGGATTCTGGTCACGATTTGGTGGTCATCGGCTTGGAACAGAAGGAGGGGCCGCCCGGGATAGCCGGGCGATCGCGAATGTCCACTATAACTTTTTATCAGGCCAAACCATCACAGCAGAACCCTACTGTGAAGAAATCGACGAATTGTACCGAAAATTTTGTCAGATGCAGCCAACACTTATCAAAAGAAAGGGTCCGATTCCTTTGCATGACAACGCCCCGCCCACACGTTTCACAAATCACTATCCATAAATTGAACGAATTGGGGGTTGAAGTTCTACCTCAACCGCCATATTCTTCAGACCTTTCGCCAATCGACTATCACCTTTTCTAACATTTTCAGAACTCCCTTGCTGGAAAATACTTCATCAATCAGGACCAGGCAAAAGCCTTAGTGGATTTCGTGAATTTTCGACCACCCAGTTTTTTTTTGATGGGATTTCTCGACTGCTGTCACATTGGCAAAAGTGTGCTGATTCGAATGGTGCCTATTTCGATTAAATCCGATGAGTATTAAAAAAGTTACGATCGTTTAAAGTGAAACACCCAAAACGCTGAGAAGTTTTTTTTTTTTTTTTCTTTCCGGACAACACTAATAGCCCTTTGCCATGTGCAGAGGTGAAAGGGTCCTCTTCGGAAGTGTGCTTCTCTCGTCGCTCACAGAAATGAAGCTGGAGGGTAGCGTTAATGAAAGCCGACAGGCACAACACGCCGCACTATCAGATTGAGAATACCAGCCAAGCATATCGTGCTCAGCTTTTCTGCGCTTCTTTCGTTTGGGGAAGGTGTTGTTCTCCAAGCATGGCCGCGATAGACACCTCCTCATCACTTTGTTAAGTTCAGCATCGACGCACATGTTGCACGTTGTCGTCGGATGGAGACCAAAACGGGATCCATCTTTCACTACGCTTCAGCGTTCGTTTGGAATTACGGAAGTGGCTTAATTATAAATATGCGGAAACGCTCACCGACATGGGTCGGTTGCACCTCACAGCTAGGAATACGCTTCAGCTTGTCTTTGTAGGGACCCTTCTCACAGGAGAGACCAAGTCCTCCAGCTCATGCACAGGAAAAAAACTATGGACGTAGCCGGGTATCGTAAGCCTTCATCGCTGATAACCCCCTTCCAATACGGTAAAAGCAGAAGGGCAAAGACAGGGAGACAGCGAACATAGGTTCACCCTGGACTACGCCTCAAAGAACGCCAAAAACATACATATGATAAGATGGAACTGACTGTTTTGCAGTAATAAAAAGTTCAAAAGCGCATGAAAATGTATCCCCGATTTTATTTGGGTGGACCCATGTGAAGGCATGGATATGAATGGCTTTGACATCAGCGATTCCCTTCTTTACATAGTATATTGTGCTATCTCAGGGCTTCATAGGGATTCCGAGGATTTCTGGCTCTTTTCAGGATTTAGAGATCTTTCGCCATAATTTTTAGGAATCTCTTTATGTGCTTTATTTTACAATTATTTTTGTAGCACATATGCGAAGTGAGCAAAAAGAGCGATAAATATTTCTGAAGCATACCATATTTCTTCACAGAAGACACCACAAAGTTCGTCGTAACTGACAGCTCTTGAGAATATGCCGACAGGTAAGGCAAGGGCGTAACCGCAGACCCAGATCGCAATAACGATCGCCACTGCTCGATTGTAGCCGATCATCTGAATGGAGATCATTTGGTGAGGAGTATAGAGGGTGAGAGTAATATTTGGAGAGGAGTTCAACACGTTCCAGACCGCATGACACACATGGTGTGTCATATATTTTCCTCTCTGCGCTGTTTTACATAATCTATTTGGCATCTTTTTCATGTTCTAAGCTTATTGCAAAACGTTACTGATTACCGTTCTGAAAAGGACGGAGTGGTGCAGAAATCTTATTCAGGCCGCTTTCGATGGGTTCTCTGCTATTTTTTCGTCAGTCAGTCAATAATCACCTACGAGTCACATCTGAACTCGACTACCAACGAACTTGCAATGGAAGAATGTGTGGGCTGTTCGGCTTGGGAGGGGCACGGGGCCACTCTGCACTTATAGGTTTCTTCCAAAAGTGATAGCGATGTTTCCATTTAAACTACACGTCACGCCATGTTGAAACCTGTAGACTCTTGTCAAGCTTGAACGAAGCTCCTGCCATTGCACAGCTTTACAGGAATTCGCAGGTCTCTACAGGGAATATCGGCAGTGGTTGATGATTAAAAGCAAAATGCCCCTCAGAGCCGAACCGCGCCAAATGTTCCCTGGGTCACAATTCCGCATTTTCCAAGAAAGCGTTCCGCGATTAGTTACAGTAAGTAGAATCGGAAGTTCGCACCCCAGGAAAAAAACGCTGTGTAATTCGAAAACAAGGTTGTTGGCTTGTTTTTCAATTTTGTTTTCGCTGCAACTTGTGATGTGAAACTTATCACGAGATTCCTGAGCTATGGGAAAGTCACAACTGAGTCAGAACCGTGAAATCCTATTGGTGCTTGTTGTTCCGTGGTTTTATCTCACGACAAAATATCACGGTGGTTGTAAGGCATCGTTCTCCTGCCTGACTTGAGGCCAAGGTGTTGAATCCGAGTGAAACAGCTAGAAATGCTGATGTGTGCGCGACTTCGCGCATAGAATAGTTTGGCCTACGCCGCTCATGAACATGTGCCACGCCCAAACCTGAACAGCTGGCTCTTTGACGTACGATGAAGTGATTTCGATGGAAATAGAATGGTGAAATCGAAAGCGTGATACTTTGAAAGGACTGATCCCACGCAACAGTGCAGCTTACTTGTTTAGTGTGCTCTGAAGTGCTCACGCACTTGGTAATAGACTCCATATCCCAAGGATTGGTAATGTGTGGCCGCGTTTTTCAATGGGACGACCGCGTTTGATGCGACGACTGCGCTTGATGGGTATCGCTGTTCCAAGGTAGTTTTAGTCTTGTTTTTGTCCAATCAAAACAGAAAGGCAGACGTCCCGAACAGAAATAATTGACGAAAAATGAATCCTACGCCACGTCCAAATGAGTACTCCATTCGCCCACCCCAGCTCCGGGACATATAAAGTGTAAAAACTCGCAGTTCTCTTTCCAAATAACTCAACAGCCCGATTGTTACAGCTACAGAAGGCATACAGTTTTGTCCTGTGTGGGTGGGTGCTGGGGCTCGCTAGGGTGAGAGGTAGGATTTGGCACGGCGCCAGAGTAGACAATTCACTACCTACCTATTGTGATTGCAAGAGCTAGGTTTGGTAGCATTTTCCAAATAGATTAGATGAGAAAATAAACCAACCTCCTTGTTCGGCTTCAGAATCAGCAGGCATCGATCCAGTGCGATCACTGTAAGCGTGAAACTCGACACGAAAATGCTGCCTCCCTGAAATGTAGGGATAACCTGTGATGTTAGGAACTTCTTGAAACATCTTAGTAAGGCGCATTTTGTCACCATCGCAACCATAGAACCATTTTCAAAAAAGGGAACGTAGAGGGACACCGTTTGTTGAGTGAACTTTAGATCATTTTCCGATGAAGGAAGTAAACTCAGGTTTTCTTGAGTTCGATATGAAATCTCAGAAAAGCGGCATGGTTTTCGTTTTCCATTTTTGGGCCCATAGCCTATCGCGGAAGCTGCCGCCCTAGAAGAAAGTGGCTTACGTTGAAGTGGCTCATTCATAGAGAATACCCTGCTCCTAATTCCCGTGTTAGGTGCTTTTTTGGTGCATGGCACCCACGCACAGGGTACAGCATCGTTGTGTGAGACACATAGGGGGTCGTACTTTTCCGCTGGGCAGGAGTGGGTCGTATTTGGTCGTTGGGAGAGGGGGGTCGTATGTGACTCTGAGAAGCAGAGAAGCTGTTGCCGCGTTGGGAAAAATTTTTGATTCTTGATTCAACAATGGGGGGGGTCGCTTATTTTTTCTCTATTTCTTTTCTTTCGCGGTTGTCCGCAGCTATAGCCATCTAGGCCTTGCGTCTTGAGAGCGCTTCCTCAAATGTTTAATCATTCGTTCAATCATTGCATAGCTTTTTTTTCACCGATTTCTAGTGTCAGTTGAGTGTCTAGCCCTTCTTGTTTCTTCTTTTTTGGGGATACCGAATACTGACGACTGAATATATGGTTCATTCAAATAAATAAAATAAGCAAATACACTCCACCCCTCCCCATCCCTCCGCTCGACGAAAA